CCCCCCCCCACCTCCCCACCCCTCACATTTCCTTTTAACTCTTTTATTCCACTTCATCTTTATTTCCCATTTCCTCCATTCAACAAGAAACAAAACTAGCAGGTCAACCCTTAAAGAAGGGAGATCGGTATTCACCCTCGATATCCATTCTTTTATTCCTATGCTGTGTAAATATAAAGCGAAATGTTGAAGCAAGATATACAAGTAAAAAAATATATTTCTATTAGCCGGCTTATATAAATTCGCTGAGATATCAATGCACATGCAGTTTTTTGCAATATTGCCTAAAGAGCTGTTTTAACTTGATTCGCAAAAAGCATCATTTGTACTGGAATGACGACATGTTAAGTTGGGATTAAAAGAAAATGAACAGGAGTGAAGGGCACTGTTGAGTGACTTTTCAGAGGCCAAAATTAGCATCGGGTAAAAAACAGGGGGAATTAGCCTTCTGCTTCTCAATAACTAACTGATTTTCTGCTCTAATTTGTCCTCTTTTCACTTCCAGCTTATTTTTTCCCTTCCTAAGCGTCTAAGAGGCCTGGATGCAGCCAATGGAACACGTTTGCAAGTAAATGAAAATAAAATCAATAGTTTAAACAGTAATTATTACATTAAAAATGGATATATATTTAAATGCTGAGCACGATGACAAAGCAGCATTGTATTGTTTAAAATGAAGAAATAATTGAGATTGAACTTTAGTAATCAATTATTGGTTTGAAAATAAGAAGAATTAATGGCTCAAAAATTTTTTTTCGTCTCAGTATACGAATCCGTTGCATCATGCTGGTTCAACTTCCAACGTAGCCTGATACCTCAGTCCTTATTCTGGGTACTATAAATAGAGTTTTTTGAAAATTTCATTGAAATTTTTTGCTTAGAATTAATTGGGAAAAAATGATTATAAACATATACGTTTTAAGTTTGATAAATGTGAAGAATCACACCATATTTCTTATCGAAGTGCTTCTAGTTTTGAAGAAATTTAACGAGAGGTTTCATTTTTCCCTATATTTTTCTCACATTTGGTTTACCACTGAACCCATGTAGTCGGAAATGTAAAGATAGTTGAAATAGCTCTTAATTCACTCCTTGTGTTTACCCCTGCCTTCAAATAATGCATGGATTACTTTAGCGCTCTTCGTGCTCAAGAGCTTCCAAGTTTTGAAAGTTGCAGAGATAGTAATCAAGTTTTTTTAAGCAAATCAAATAGATGCGCTTTGTAATACGAATACTCATAGACGTCAATTTGTCTAATGTTCCAAGGACATGCGATTACTGCGCAGTTCGGGAATATAAATCCTATGTTGTTGTAAAACTTGAGCACATTTTTTCCTTCAAGAGTTAAAATTCTAGTGTATAAAAAATCAGCTCTTAAAACCACGCGAATTGAGTTAGTTATAAAATTTTTAATCGCTTCGTCTTCTCCTAAAAGTCAATTGTCAATAAAATGTTCAATAAAGGCGTTTACTGTGCACGCGTAGCCACCCCGCTCCACCCCCCTTCCCNCCCCCCCCCCTCCCCCCCCCCCCCCCCCCCCAACCACGAACCACCCAACTTTTATTGATTCGTCGCTGTAGGATCATCTGATGCAATTGTTTTCATTCAAATTTTTATTCCATTTTATTTGGCAATTGATTGAAATTCAATTGACATAATGACGAAAAGTAACTTTATTCAGTGCAGTTACTGCAACAAAATCGCCATTAGCATTCCCATTACAGACTCTATAAATTTCATGCATGGTGAAACACCTTCGCTTCCTTCAGAGTAGTCACTATATGTGATTAGGGATTTCTAAGCGTTGGTATCTTAAGGAGTACATGGGGGGGGTTTATTAGCTAATCAATCGGTGCTTCGAAAGTAAATTCTAGTTCGTAGGTGAACTCGCGTCATTAGAGTGCTATGTCCCTTCCATTTGTTCATTTTCTTTAGCGAGGTGATTGAAACCTCTTTCTCCGTAAGGAATGCTAGAGAGTTCAATATTTAAGAGCATGGAAAAATTATTGGTAAGTTGAAACTGTGAAGAATCGATCATAAGAAAGAAGAGATGGTAAATGATTGCAGCAGAGAGGCATGCTCGGCTTCACGCCGTGTTACAACACTTTTAGAAGTAACTACAAAGTGGTATAAAGAGTAGGCAAATGAAAGGTAAATTCTAATTCTAAATCATTCTCATTTATCCTTTTGCATTCATTGATGTTAATAAATAATGCCATTGCCGTAACAATGAGCTATTTCTTAAGGACCTCAAACATTTATTTGTTACATGATTGATGACATTGATAAACAGGATGCTAAAAGGATCGATGCCGCCCCAAGGTCTATTCGTTTTAACTAAAATATCCTCAGCATCCTCTTCTGTTACAACAGCTCCCAATATTCCCGAATCCAACACAAGGATGTTAATAACGTAGCGAAGAACTATTCCATTAGTTAAGTATTTACATAAGGTACTTCCATCTTAACTAAAATCAATATTAAAACACGAGTAGAGTAGTTTCAATTAATACTCTCGATTGTTTCAATGGTATTTTTATTTCCAAGTAAATGTTACCCTGTAGACCTGGGCAGAATGTGCTTTGTATTAGAGAGGCAAGAAATTGTCCCCTAGGGAATCGTCCTCAGGTTAGGCAATATAAAAGCTCACACTTATAATATATCCCCCCCCCACTCCACAAATTTATTGCTCACTTACTTCAGATGATTATGGGAAATGTTATCGGTTGTTTAAAAGCATGCAGATCCATTTAAGTTACCAAGACATGCGTGGGTGTTTGAAGGGAATCGGATGGAAACCAATGGTGAGAATAAGCATTGTATGCTCGCGTTGCGAAAAGTTCGACTTCAGTTTAATGGTGAAATCATTGCCCTAAAAATAGGTGATCTTAGTCTACCCCTATGCAAAATCCAATTTGGTAGTTGCAAATGAAAATATAATTAATTATTAATAAGGCTGCGACAAGGACTTTTATGACGCTTAATAACTCTTAATGAGGGTGTTTAAATTTTGTAGAATCTATCACAAAATCTCAGATTGTTGTAGAGAAGTTGAAGGTTTGCTCACTTACTCTTCCTGGAAATTATTCTCGAATTATATCTCAATTTGCCTCTCTTATACAAAATATTGTTTTGCTCAAAAGCCTGTGAATGCTGAATGCAATTTCTTTTTTATCCAGCAGTGGGTTAGTGAATATCGATTTTTACTCGCCTCTTCTAAATTGACTGAGTTATCTCCCACATGGGCTCTTAATGATCCACCATTAAAATCGTCGTCCTTCGATCTCAACTTTCTTCCCATATGCCTAGTCTAATTCTTCTTTCCCTTCTGAACTACAAATTAGCCTCAAATAAATGTTTGCTTTGCTATTTTTGCGAATTATGAGCAAGGCGCACTTGTTGGTGGATATGATCAATTCCTCCTCTCAATGAGAAGCGGATTTACGCTATGCGCATAGATGCTTGACATATTTTTAGCAGAGAGCTCAAAATTGAAGGAGTGTTAGGGTTGAGTTTTTCCCGATAATATCCTTTTCTAGACATTTTGGAGGTATTCACGAACACTACGCTTCTTAAAGTTTTGACCCTATCATAACAAAATAATGAGTCTGTAGTCATTACTCAACGCCTCCCGAAGAATGTGGAAAGAATCTGGCATGAACTGGAGAATTACAATGAAGAATACGAGGACTCCGTGGCTAGATGAGTGCAGCATATTAAGCTCTCTGAACCGACTGACCTCGTAAAGCTGAGTACCTAGACAACCCGCTGCAGAAAAAACATGGGAATTCGGGCTTTGCCAAGAGAGTTAATTAAAGGCTTCAACCTCCATCATAATGCCAGCCCACAATAAAGACTTTAACTGTTACCATTAATAAAACTGTCATTGGGATTAACTTCTCACGGAAAATGTGAAGAAACTCTGACACTTTACCGACGAGAAAAACTTGGATCAATATGCAAAAGGCAGTAAGAAAAATAACAGATGGCTTGTTTACAGTCTAAAAGATTAACCTGGTGTCATTCAGACCCAATTTCCCCAAACTACTTGTCCACCTACGCGAGAATGATAAGGTTTCTCCCACTTCTTGTCTTTAAGAGGAGATCAGGACTCATTGTGAGTTCAGGTGTCTACGTGGAATTACTGCTGGAATTGTAGCTAAATCTTAAATAAACCAAGTAGCTAATAATAGGATTTTGCCCTAAGTCACTCCACATGGAAAAATGAAACTGGTTGTCAGCCAATTTTTTGCGATTTCACCAGTCCTGATGTTTGCCTGGCCTCTGAACTTCACCCCCCCCCCTCCCCTAACTCCATTCAGATCTTAGTCCGATAGACAATTGTGAATGCATTGGGTGCTGACGTGATAATCACTGATATCCGTGCAAGTATCAAAAAATCCCACCCAATGTACAAATCGAAATCAGTTTTTGAGCTTCTTCTCAGGTTTTTAATTGGAGGACGTGGTAAAGACCGAACTTAAGCAGTAATGTAGACTAATGACGGTTATTTCTACTGATAGTCTTCAATAATGATGCAACTTATCAATTAAATTTCTTTTGAATCTATTAAAAGTTATTGTGGAAAAAAAGACACTCCTTTTCCTTATGGGATTTGAAATTCTTTTGCGAATATCTTTTACTCCGCTAACCGAAGTGAAGGCAGGTTAACAAAGAGATCATAACTTAGAGA